CCTCAAGTTTCCCTTTCCTCACTTTGTAAGGGAGGTTCTTCATTTTTTAGTGTCCTGCCATACTTTTGTCGACAGGTTGGACTGTCTTTTTGGCATTCTCGATCTTGTGGGAGCGTTTGTTCAGGCAGCCACGAGATTTCCAACTTGAATTTAGCTGAGATTTCCCTACTTGAATTTCACTTTGCACATTTAAAACCTCAAAAACCCAAACAAAGAGCTCCAAAGCAACAACAATCACATGAGTTACAACTACCAAATGTAAAAAATAAAAAATAAAAAAAAAAAAAACCATCTTTTGAACCTAAAATTTAGGAAAAGAATTCCCAAACAAAAAAAAAATTAGAACAACAAAAGCAAATGCAAGAGACATTCCGTTTTGCCTAAATCTTTACACCAAATTTTTTATTGAGATGAAACACAATTTCATAAAATAACAAACCAACCAACTAACCCACGTATTGTTCCGTCACCTGCCACCGAAAAAACAAGAACTTCAACTATATGTGGATTATGTTCTACGCTTATTGAACTTGGGTGACGATGAGTTTCATCGTGTTTTCCAACAGCACTACAAAACCCACAAGCTGAGACTTTCGGAGACGGCAGCTCTATCGCCAGAGACACATTTCCTATATGGAATAAGGCAACAAAGTACAACTTGAACTTGTCATTTATCAGTCAACATATGCCCAACTGAGCCTATATCACATGTCATAGATGTCATAAACTCAAGAACAAGTTTAGTTAATAAAAAGAATCGGTCTCACTAATGAATTAAAGTATAAACAACAAAGAAAATAGAATTGAAAAAACCAAAGTAGGTCTCTATTATATTTTCCACTAATACTTTAATTTTTGTTTTTTTGGATTTTGTACAATATGCATCATCAAAGCAGGAAAATAAAATAAAAGACCAAAGGCATCCCACAAGATAAATCAAATCTACCAAGTAGCTTCTATTCCTTCTGGTTTTGAATTTCTATTGTATACACCATATATTGGTTTTTGACCCTTTTTTTGTAATGAATTTCTATGTATTAAATATAATATATTCAGGGGCGGAGTCAGAAATTTGTTCTAGGATGGGCACATTTAACCAACTAAATTTAATTTTCTTTCCAATCAATAAAAGTATTGTGGTACATGTCTTTTCTTTTCTTTTTTTTTTTTAAATCGTGTTGCATATTTAAAGATTCATTTAATACAAAAGGATTAAAGACCAATATATGTAATCAATGTAAAAAATACTTAATAAAAGAGGCTAATTATAACCCTTTGCAAAAAATGAGACTAATTACAACCACGTACTGTAGACCCTAACAATTTTTCATACTTTGAAATAATTGTATGATAACGTTATTGTATAATAACATTACTAACAATGTTACAAAAATGTCACAAAAATGTCCTTCTCTATATAAGTAATTATTAATTAAGTTAATAGAAATCAATTTCAAGCTAAGTCACATCAATTTTAAAAATTTATAGCAATTTCAAACAATTATAAATAGTATAAGATTGAGAGTTATTGAAAAAATAGGCTCAATCACTAGTCACAATTTTTTAACATATTTTCGCCTTTCTTTGAGTGAAAAATGTGCCCGATTATTTTTTTGCACAAAATTTAGTTAGTGCAAACTTATTAGAGTGGTCAAATATTTTTGGTTTTTGGTCATGAGGGTCGGCATAATTCCGGCTACCTAAGAAAAAAATTATAAATATAAAAAGGTGAAATTTTTAATTTTTTTTAATGGGCATGTACCCCCACCGGTCCTTATGTACCTCCGCCCTCGGTCACAGACGGTACAAAAGCCGGCACATTTTATCAAGAGGTGGTTTACGAAGGTTCTAAAAGTGGTGGACTGTGGACATTCCACAAAGGACGCTCATGTAGCTTTGTAGTCCTATATAAGAGGAGAATAATATTGCAACAACTTTATCAAAGATCAGCTCTGGTGGTGGAAACAAACCTAGTACTACTTACTTTCTCCATTCTTAGGCTGATGAATATGTACCCATGATGAATTGTTTTCCTGCTTGTAACTGAAGTTTTTTCTGTCTTCTGCAGGGAGTGAAATTTATTGATTGATGATGGTCAATGCAACAAGAACAACCTTCCTTCATCGCAGGTGAACAAGTTTTTTTGGAAAGTTTAACGCTGCCTCCATCGATATGAGATTCAATCTCACAAAAGGTCAGCGTACTTCCCCTTCATGTCATGCCATTCTCGCCTTTATCATTCCGGTGATCGTTAACCTCTAGCAGTTGAAGTTTCAAGAAAAAAATGAAACTCTATTCTAAACCCACCCCAAAACCATGTATGTTGTCATTACTAGTTTGTTCCTATATTGTGTCCTGTCCGAAGCAAAGAAAAGATTTTCCTCTCCAACTTATGCCACTATTGCTCGGCATATTGTGGTATTGTTTGGTTTCTTGTCATTGGTATCTCTAGCATCAACTCTGTTCCAAGACTCGGTTATGCCCGAACAGTAATGGGGCAACCAGTAGAATCACGCCTTCCAGTTCGGCCCATGTTACATCGCTTGTCCGATTCACACAGGAGCAAAGCACATGCCTTTATGAATGAGAGGGATACACTTCCAATGTAACTGGAAGAAATTAAGACATACTTGGACAAGCATAGATGGATCTTGACATCAGATAAGCCCAAAACCAAAGGACATTAGTAGTCCTAAAGTGTGTTTAAAACGTGGCAATAAGGCTAATGTTAAGAGAACAAATATGTGTTTTTTCCATCGAATGATATGCATCAAATGTATGATATAACGATATTATAATAGGGATAATTCCCAAGAACTATCTCAGATTGGTGAAAAACACCAACGTAGAAACAAACTCGTGAAGAAAATCATCACTCCATCAAATAAAGAGTATTGAAGAAACAGTCTCAAAATGAAGCAGAAAAAAATTCCACATTGATGAGTCTAACCACAAATGCTAAAATTACAGCCAGACTCCTAAAATTGGGCAGGAATGGATCATAGACATATCAAATGTTCACATGTTTCCAACTAACTCTTGTCACTATATGTCAGTTATTTTAGTTATTTATGTAAGAAAAATGCTACATGAATTTAAATTTTTGACTTAATTTATTGACTCGATTAATCATAACTATTAAATAGATAGTTAATTTTAATAAATATTAAAAATCTGAACGGATCACTTGAACCAAATAATTCTTGTTCCCCTTTTATTTTTATTAGCAATGTACTCCGTGCGTTGCACGTGAATAATTTTCATATATAAAATTTAATAAAAATTTGTATGTATATTTGTACCTAAATTAAATATCATCTTAAGTTTATAAAAATTATGTTTTTATCACTCGTATTATACTATAGAATTTGAAAATTTTTGTCTGTTCCCAACGAATTGTTATTCTAACTATAAGAAAAAAAGACAAAAATAATTAATTTTGAAATTCATTTGATTAGGTTTGAACTTATAATTCATTGAATAAAATAACAATAATTGTCAATATTCTAATTAATATTTATTTTTAAGGATAACATAGTCAATTAAAAAATTTCATAGATATTGATATTTATACATAAAGAATAGGGAATTAAACTAGATGATAGAGACAATTGAAGATTTAAACACAAAGGATATGATGGTAATTTAACTATTTAACTATGGAAGGATAATGTGATATTTAAAATTCTTTATAAGAGTAAAATAATGAATCAAAAGTTTTTTATACTAAGATAATTTTATTAGTAATTAGATCGTGCATACGTGTCTTGTACGTGGACTTTTTTAACTATGTTTTTTTTAATTAAGATTTTAACTTGAAACAATCAAATAAATACAATGGGAAATACAGACTTATAAATCAAACAATCTAAATATCCTATTATATAATTTGTAATCTATAATAGACGTACATTACATTTTTTCTAGAATGAATATTAGTTTTTATTTTTTTATTGCTCTTAAATTTTTGACGAATTACTTTTCTTGTGCACCTAAACCCTAAGGTTTGGAACTTTTCACATGAAACTAATAATTTAGATTAATTTTATTTGTAATATCATAATAATGATAAAACTTGTGGTATGCAGAAATATATAAATAAAAAGTATCACAAACACTTATTAAAATATGAAAAATATTGAAGAGAATTTATTTTAAGTTATAATGATCATCTAACTATAAACAATTGGTTGAGCAAATTTAAGATGTTAAGTTGTAATAAGTAAATTAATGTAATGCTGAACATTTAGAACATTGGTAACTGATACAAATAAAATGGGTTATAATATTGCCAATAAACATAACTAAAAAGGGTTTATTATTAAAACTAAAACATAAAAGAAAAGGAAATGAAAAGTTAGAGTTTAATAATATTATTCAAGTTATATTAAAAAAAATCTTATCCTAAATAAGACACTCTAGTACCATTATACAAATTAATTTGAAAATTCAGAAACTTGTCATCATCTAATGAAAATATATAGACATAAATAAAAATAAATTTAATTATTTTAATAATTAATCTTTGCCTTTTAAGAGAAAGAATATGAAATTGTTGGATATGTATAATATTAATATGAGTTTCATATTAATAATGTTAGTATTGTCTTTATTGTGAGATTAAAGTTGTCTACTTAAAAGTTTAACATCAATCAAGTTCTATTAATATGAATTTTATATTAAATAAGATTAGTATTATTTTTATATTTTATTTTAGGGGTAAAGTAGTCAATCAAAATTTTTCTTCATAGTATACTTTTATTAGTAATATATAGATATAGATTAGTAGTATAGATATAAATATAAGTAATTTCTACAACATTAAAAGGAACAAACAAAAGACAAAAGATTGCAACCTTTCACATTTTCTCCCAATCAACACTGTTCGTACGTCTTCTCTTATTTACTTCGGAAGCTTTTATTTTTTGCAAGTCACATCGCAACCTTAGAGGACCCTTGTTCTCTTGTGCAGCTACCAAGTAATTAATGCTTGTACACAGACAAATCGAATAAGTCCAAAGTTATTTATAGAGTGATTTTTACCTCTTCATCTCTGGGGAAATTACACAAATCAACCCAGAGGTTTGCATTTATTACACTTTGTCACTCATAGTCAATCCAAGTATTATGATGAAAAGAATACTATTTGGACCTAAAAATCTGATTTAATTTATTGACATAATGATGTGGAATTATAGGCATCATTAGATCAACACCAAGTTTTAATGTTCGATGAGTCTACAGTGAAT